CTTATAAATAGCCCCCTTCAACAGCCTTATAATCTCTGAAATATATATATATATATATATATATATATATATATAAAATTGGATGTTTTTATATATGCCGGATAGCATTATTCAAACAAGTATCAAGTATCAGACATGATGGCCCATCGGGGCATAGCCCAATGGTGTAAAGGACAGGAGTGAGGTTATCTCACACCTTGCTGACAGCCGAAGTGTGGGGGTTCGATTTCTGAGACATGTGATTGAATTTCTTGTAGGCGCAGTGTACAGGTAGCTCTTATTTCCTGGCCTGTTGGGGCACATCCAGCGATTTATCTCCCTCACAAAGCTCTAGGGGAAGAGCTGTGGGGGCCTCAAGGTTGGGTTCAACCATTTTTTTTTCCAGCTCAGCAACACACACCATACGAGGTATCAACTTCAACTGTTGTCTGTGCAAAACAGAATATAAAACTTCCGCAATAAACCAAATCATTGGTGCACATTGCGTGTTGGGAAGCTAGCAAAGAGAAGATCAATGGCAAGAGTAGGCGGGCACCGATACTGTTACAAAGATGTGCTTCCATTCACAGCCCTGGTGGCGATGGAGTGCTCCAACGTCGGCCTCAACACACTGTTCAAATTCGCCACTAACCACGGGATGAGCCGCCATGTTTTCGTCGTTTACGCCTATGCAGTGGCGGCGCTTGTCCTACTTCCGGCGATGTTTCTCTGTAGAAGCAGATCGAGAGTACTTCCTCAGTTGAACTTCTCTATCATGATCAAAACTTTTCTACTCGGAGTTATTGGGTGAGTGAGTTTAACTCTACACATGTGACTGTTTTCAATTAGTGATTGGAAATCATATAAGTTCATGAGTCTCCTCATTGAACTTCTCCTTCATGATCAAGTTTTTTCTGCTCGGAATCGTAAGATGGGTAAATTGTTCAATTTACGTATCTAATTTAGTTCAATTAGTGGTTAGAATTGGGACAATTTGAATGAATTGAACTTCTCTCCATCATGGTCGGAATATTTCTTTTCGAAATCACTGGTTGGGAAAAATTGTTCAATATACACACCTAATTCACTTGAATTAGTAACTGGAAATCGAGAAATTCGATGAATTAAAGCATTCTGATTACATGAATTTTGTGGTAAGACAGGTGTGCATCTCAGATCATGGGTTATACCGGAATCAGTTATGGATCACCAACGCTTGCGTCAGCCATCAGCAACCTGACGCCGGCTTTTACTTTCGTGCTTGCCATCATATTCAGGTTTCTTTCACCTTTAATCCTTTTATTTGTCCTTTTCTTACCTCTTCCAGCTTTACTGATGTCCTCTGCCTATGATATTTTTGGTTTGATTTTTTTAAAGATCAAGAGTTGAACTGGGATTTTTTTTTTTAATCAGAATTCTGATGTGAATCGATGAGTTCTTGACTTGTATTAATTATTGCTTACTCTATGATTTTTTGCTTATTACAGAATCAGTTTCGGCCTATTTGATTCAGTTTTGACAGCTTTGGTTACATTAGATTGGATTATTTAGGTTAATAAGAGTTAAAATACTCCAAGTTGGACCAATGATTAGATAGCTTATCGTCGATTGTGGCCAAGAAGTCTGTGTGATAATCACATAACTTACGACTCAAAAACTCTTAAAATTTACGCAAAAGGAAGGGTTGACTTTGGATCTTGCAGTGAATTCAATAAATTATAGTTGAAGTCCCCAATCTATGGTAAGCACGTAATAACGTTCTTATGACAACTAAGTCATCAATCTTTATTCTGTAGTAAGTTGCTCATCAACCTTATTGGGTAGGAACCACATAATTAGTTACATCGAATTAAGATAATCCTTCGACATTGCTTCTTCCACTCAAACCATTACTTTAGAAATGTAGTTATACCATTTCTAAACTCGGTAATTGAAAGCTAACATAGGATTATATTAAATTACTTGACTATCGAAAATTTTTTCACATACATATCTTCTTCGGTGCTATTCAGTACCATTGAACAGTGCTATGAATGCATTATTTGCTTTGTTTGTCTCACCCAATTATTACTAGATTATCAGGGCAGTTGCATATTCCCGAAAAGGATAGAAAAGCATGTCTTGGAATTTCCTTCCAATATTAGATGGATAGAAAGCTAAAGTTGTGCCTAATTGAGTTTTCTACTTTTCTTGAAACTGAGGAAGTGGTCCCCTTTGTAGGATGGAAAAGCTAGAACCGTCGAGCACAAGTAGCCGAGCTAAGGTGGTTGGCACCCTGGTCTCAATATCAGGTGCATTTGTAGTGACTCTTTTCAAGGGTCCAAGCATCAATTCCCCACCTGACAAGCATCAAATTCTACATTCATCACGATCAAACTGGATTATTGGCAGCTTATTTCTCACCATTGAATACATTTTGGTGCCAGTGTGGTACATTGTTCTGGTCAGGATACCAAAAGCTAATTCTTACAATCTTTTATTGGGAAATTTGCAGATACCAGTCTCAAAGTTTTACAAATAAAACATTAGTCTCCATCCAACTTTTTCTAGCTCAGAGATTCTCAAACTCCCATTTTTGGTGCAAGTCAATCCCGATTGAATGAAATCATCAATCTTTTCCCCGTATGACCAACCATAAAAATGCAAGGTATAAAATGCTTAGACGTGACATCTTTTGTTCAGAGCAAAATGGGTCAATTTTGGATAACTCTCAGAATAAGTCATTGTGTAAGACAAGTGACTATTTGATGGAAAAATTGACAGTTTTCGTCAAGTAGAGACCAATATGACCATGCACCAAAAGTGGATGTTTGGAGGTATAAAGGGGAGAAATTTGTTTAAAAAAAAAAAAAACCTTTATGATCTATTTTTGAAAGTATGGTAACTTAGTTTGCAAACTTCCCCTTACTACTAGTGCTGATTTTTGAAAAATAAATGGAAATTGACTTGGTGTTTTATTCATAGACGCATATCATGAAAGAGTACCCAGCAGAGCTGACACTGATGTTCTTCTACAACTTATTTGTGAGCATCCTAGCTGCATTCGTAGGTCTCATTGCTGAACCAGACTCTAGCAAATGGATAATAAGACCTAACATCTCGTTGGCCTCTATCTTATGCTCTGTAAGTGATGATAATAGTTGCTTGTTCCTTAATTCCCACCAGACTCTGAAGTTTGACATTGATAAGAAATAAAAATATACAGGGGGTTTTTGGCTCCGGCTTGAACAATGTTATTCATACATGGGCCTTGCACTTAAGGGGGCCAGTCTATGTGGCCATGTTCAAGCCATTGTCCATTGCCATTGCAGCCGCCATGGGAGTCATTATCCTTGGTGATACTCTTTATCTAGGAAGGTACGCCTATACACTACCCTACCCCTCGCACCTAGCAACAAAGCCCTGATTGGGCTCCATTTTATCCAATAAAATAATATTACACGTAAATCTAAAACTTTTCCTTTTTTTTTAACCATGCATTCTTTGAAAAGAAAAATACTATTCCAAAATACATTTTCCCCAAAAATGCATTATAATGAAGCTCTAACAGGGGCGAAATAACTACTTTCTGTTTTCCTTGTGCTATTTTGCAGCATCATTGGTGCAACGATAATAGCGATTGGATTTTATACTGTAATGTGGGGCAAAACAAAAGAGGGGATAGCCGAATTTGATGAAATCAGTGATCTGGAATCTGTGGCTACGCAAAAACATCCCTTGTTGCGAAGTTACAAAACTGAAGGGACAGAGAAGAGGTGATTATTATGCAGAGAGTAATTCTCTCTTATGTAAAACAGATTATGTATAGCTTATAATTGAATCGGTATGCAGAGAGTAATTCTCTCTTATGTAAAACAGATTAATTCTCTCTTATGTAAAACAGATTATGTATAGCTTATAATTGAATCGGTATGCAGCGAGTAATTCTCTCTTATGTAAAACAGATTATGTATAGCTTCTGATTGACTCGGTATACAGAGAGAAATTCTCTCTTTTGTAAGATAGATATTTATAGCTTAGCTAAACCCAAATATCAGAAGGTAAAGCTACTACCTTCTTTCTTTGCTTCAAAATTCTCCTGCCAATGAATTTCAGAATGCAATTTCCAGATTCTCTATAGTGAGATGTAAATTCTACAAAATGTGGAGCTCTTGGTAGAACTTTGATGAACTAATCTCAACTCCAGTGAGATCCCAGGGCAAAATAATATCAGCATTATTTTGACACTGAGAGTCTTTCCTTCTTTGTAACGCGAAGTTCACCAAGAGAACAGTGAGTTTTAATCAACAACAAATATCGTAAATAATAACCGTAAAATAAAATGGAAAGAAAACGCAGAAAAAAATAAAGATGAACACAAGATTTTTCACCCTAAGGTAAAAGGTTTAGAACCGGAGTTCCTAATCCCCTTTTGAGCTTCCGTCAAACCGGAAGAAAATCACTATATCACTGAAATCATCAAAATTGAACGGTCCAGTACAGATCTCTTGGCACTCAGTGGAAGTCACGCAACATTTCCCAAAAATAAGCCTCACAAATCATAACAACATTCACTCAAGAATGAAGGATCAAAGCCTATACATCAATCACTCAAGATCTATACACGGCTGGTGATTTTTCATCATAAATGGGCTAAAAGAAAGAGTGCAGTAGAGAGAACAGAAGAGAACCACAGAGAGAGTTTGAGAGGCAGTGAGAGAACTGAAGAGACTTCAATTAGAAACCCTAGGGTCAATTATAAATCGAAGCCACTAGAAGCCCTTTATCCAACGGTATAGGGGAGAACACTTGGCAAGATCTGAAGTATCCGTTCTTATTAAAAAATCGTGTTTTCAGCAACACGTTTTTACCACAATAATGGGCAACTTGAATTATCAATGGATAACCTGACCCACAAGCCCAGCTTCTGAAAATGAACTAGCCCATCATCATTGTGCCATAATTTCTCCACATTCTCCACCTTGGTACAATGATTCCAGTTTCATCTATAGTGATTTCTCCAACTTTTTGACATCATTTGCTCTTATTCCTGATACACAAATCAGTAAAAGTTAATATTCAATTGTTTTAAACAGTTCAAAAACTTGTTTAAAGGCAGCACTTTGGTTCCAACATCAACAGGATTAAATTGTGTAGAAATCTTTTCAAGTTTAACAACACCTTGAGAAATTACATCTCTAATAAAATGAAATTTCACATCAACATATTTTGATCTATTATGAAGCACATGATTTTAATCAAATATATAGCAGATTGGCTATCAGAGTGCAAGACAACATCATTTATGTAACCAAATTCATTTAGAAGTCCTTTTAGCCAAATTCCTTCTTTAAATGCATCAGTAGCAGTTATATATTATGCTTCAGTTGAAGATAAAGTAACAATCTCTTTAATTGTGATTTTCAGCTTATACAGGAATTACATAAAGTGTACACATAGGCAAAAGTTGATTTTTTGTTGTCCCTAACACCTGCATAATCAGAATCTATGTAACCCCTCAAGATAACACCTTTAGATTGTCTTTTATACTCAATTCCTAGGTCATAAGTTCCTTTTATATATCTTAAAAGCCACTTCATAGCTTCCCAATGAACCTCACCAGGGTTGGACATGTATCTACTCAATACACTTATTGCAATTGTCAAATCAGGTCTAGAACAGATCATTAGATACATAACTGACCCCACAACATTAAAATATGGCACTCTAGCCATTCTCATGAACTCTTCTTCAGTTTTGAGAGATTGGTCATTAGATAATTTGAAGTGATTTGCTAAAGGTAAAGTCACACTTTTAGCATTAGACATTGCAAATCTTTCAAATATTTTCAAAGCATAAGATTTTTGATTTAGACTTATTATGCCCTCTCTTCTATTTCTTTTAATTTCGATACCAAAATTTTTTCTAACAGGACCTAAGTCCTTCATTTCAAATTCAGATTTTAGTTTGTCTTTAATTAACTCTATTTCCTTTATGTCATGACTGGCCAAAATAATATCATCCACATAAAGTAGAAGATAGAGTGAATTCTCACCTCCGTTTCCTTTACAATAAAGACAAGTATCGAAATTACTTATTTTAAAACTAAGTCCAAGTACAAAAGTGTCAAATTTCTTATACCATTGTCTTGGAACTTGTTTTAAATCATAAAGTGACTTTTTAAGAAGGCATACTAAGTCAGAATTTTTATTTACTTCAAAACGTTTAGGTTGTTCCATAAAAATGGTCTCTTCAAGATTTCCATTTAAAAAAGCAGTTTTTACATCTAATTGATCCAATTCCCAATTGAATTGAGCTGCGAGGGCAAGTATAACTATAACAGTTGTAAATTTTACAATAGGGGAAAATATTTCATTAAAGTCTATCCCCTCCTTTTGAGTAAAACCCTTAGCTACAAGTCTGGCCTTATATCTAACGCCGTTCTCATCTTTTTCACCTCTTTTGATCTTATAGATCCACTTGCAATCTATAACTCTCTTTCCCTTAGGTCTCTTGACTAAGGTCCAAGTTTTATTCTTCCTCAAAGATTCTATCTCATCATGCATTGTAGTAAGCCAATGTTTAGAATTCTTGCTACTCATAGCATCTTTATAGGACTCGGGTTCATTCTCAATGAACCCCTGAACAGTAAGAAGAGACATTTCATCATCAAACCTTACAGATGGTCTTATATGTCTCATTTCTCTATCTGTAGCAAGTTGATAATCATTTAAGGGTTGATTTACTTCAAAATCAGATTTATTCAGATCAGTTTCATCAGTAGTTTGAGCCACAATTTAATTATTTTCAATCTGATCAGGTTGTAGATTATCATTATCAACTTGCTCCACCTCAATTTCAGTTCCTCTCCCTTCATTTTCAGTCTGACCATATTCAATTGTGTTATTTTCAGATCTCAAACAAGGCATATTAGATTCATTACACACCACATTTCTACTCAAAATGATCATATAACATTTTGTTTGTTTTACCCAAAGTCTATACCCCTTCACCATAGCCCAAGAAAACACACTTTAGGGCTCTAGGTTCAACTTTTCCTTTAGATTGGTGTGCAAATGCTACACAACCAAATTTTTTTTGATTTCTCAAATCTACAGGTTTTCCTGTCCAAACTTCTTCGGGTGATTTGAGTTGTATAGCACTTGCGGGGCTTCTATTTATGAGATAACTAGCAGTTTTTACAGCTTCTCTCCAAAATAACTTGAGAAGAACGGAACCCAGTAACACACATCTAACTCTTTCAAGAATAGTTCGCTTCATTCTTTCAGCCAAGCCATTTTGTTGTGGGGTGTGTGTCACTGTTATGTGTCTTAGAATACCATGCTCTTTGCACAATTCATCAAATTCATAATTGCAAAATTCCAGCCCATTATCAGTCCTCAACACTTTAATCTTTTTATTTGTTTGATTTTCAACCAAGATTTTTCATTCTTTAAAAGTATTAAAAGTGTCAGACTCATGTTTAAGTAGAAAGAGCCATTTTTTCTTAGAAAAATCGTCTATGATTAAAAGAAAAAATCTGAAACCAGTATGTGTGGGCATAGAAGCTGGTTCCCAAAGATCAGAATGCAAATACTCAAGAATAGACACAGATTTATGCATCTCAGGCAGAAATGGGAGTCTATTTTGCTTTCCTAGTATGCAATAATCACAAAAATCGAGTTTCTCAATTATATCTTTACCAAAGACACCTTGTTTTTTCAAAATCTGTAAGCCTTTGTCACTAATATGACCCAATCTTTTGTGTCATAGTTGTGACTTATCACTGTGGGCAGAAATTGCTGCTGACGTGGAGTCAAAAAAGTTTTGAGTGTGTAAAATGTAAAGCCCATGTCTCTTGGGGGCTTCGGCAACAAGTTGAGAGCCCCTCAAGATTTTAATGTATCTCTTGTTAATCACAATGTTGTAGTTTAGGTCATCTAGGACACCTAAGAATATGGGATTTCTTTGTAGGTCAGAAACATACCTAATTTTTTCTAAAGTCAATTCATTATTATTCTCAAACCTTAAGGTGATTGTTCCTATTCCTTTTACCTGACATGGCATGTGATTACCCATTAACACTTGGCCTCCATTTACATTTTCAAAATCAATAAACCACTCTCTTTTAGTACACATATAAAAGGTGCAACCTGAGTCAAGGATCCACTCCTGACTAGGTGAATTGCGTGTAACAACATAAACCTAGTCTGCATTGTACTCATTTTTATAAGCCAAGGTAGCACCACCATCATTATTAGACTTATTTTCAAGTCATTAAGTATCTTATGGCAATCTTTGATAAAATGACCTTCACCTAAACAGTAAAAACATTTTTTACCCTTAGTCTTATTTTTCATTTTATCTTTAAAGTTCACCTTCTTCTTGTATCCAGATTTCTTATTGAAATTGGCCATCTTTGGATTTGAATTAGGTTTGGACTTAACCATCAAATTTTCATCACTAATAGATTCTCTCTTTTCAGATTTTAACTCTAACTTTTTGTTTCTCAATGTATTTATTATCACGTCAGTAGTCAGAGTCTCCCTTCCATATTCAATAGTATTTTTAACATCTCTATATTTATCATTTATTGAATTTAACAAAACCACAACCAATTGTTCTTTTGAGAGTTTCTCATCACAGTCGGCTAGGTCACGGGATAATCTATTGAATCTATCAATGTTTGCCTCAAGATCAAGAGATGGATCCAATTTGAAACTAAAAAATTGTTTTAGAAGATACACTTTATTAGGCATGATTTTATTCAAATAAGTATCTTCCAATTTCTTCTACAACTCAGCAGTAGTTTTTGTCTCATCAATTTCTCTTAACACATTGTCAGACAAATGCAAGAATATAGAACTCCATGCAATTTCATCAAGTTCAGTTATCTTAGTTTCTTCCATATCATCAGGCCATGACTCATCAATGACTTTTGCACATTTTTGTTGAAGTAAAAGAGCTCGCATTTTCTGGCACCAAAGTCTAAAG